CGATGGTAAATGACAGTAGTCACAGTTATTCTTTGAAATTCATGTTACAAATTTCTAATATTGCATTATTCCATTTAACAAACTTCAATCGTTTCAGCTGAAATTCTCAGTGACTGCTTCTGCCAAGTTTGATTTGAAAGTTTTTCAGAACACACCAGTCACTTTTGACAATTTTGGTAGTGGGGAAAAAAAGGTAAAAAATAATTCAGAATATTGTGTTTGGAAAGATTCTCCTTCAGGGATCCACAGAAAAAGACAGAAACTGCTGGGGTTAGATAGCTGCCTTTACCCATGTCAATGCCAGTCTGTCAAGACTTGAACAAAATATCCAAGAATTACAGTTCACCCATGCTCAGGAAGGCTTCCAGAGCTCACTGGTAGCATCTCCGACTCCGCTAACAGACCTGAACTTATTTCCAGCTGGCCTGAGCTCTCTGCACATCACCTGCACCGACCCGGCCAGCCAGCATCGCTGTGCTTCCCGCATTGCCGTCAGGGACGTATAAGGCTCCAGAGAAGAGATGCAACACCACCAGCGGCAAAGCCCTTCTTGGCCAAAGCAGAGAAAAAGAAACTATTTAGGTAGTCAGCGGGAGGATCAGCGTTAGCATGCATAACCTTGTGCTCTTCGCAGCTCTGACCACCGGACAACGTCCCACACTAATTGGGAATTAGGGTCACTGCTTACCACCTTACAGAGAGGGTAACGAAGTGGTTGTCCTAGGTGACATGTGACAAAACTGAGACCAGAACTCAGGTCTCCCGACATGATACATCATCTGATTTAATTATCCCCTTTGCGGCGCTGATGTCCAAGGTCATGCATTTGATTGTTCTACATTTAAATGACGAGAACACGCTCGCCCCACAGACAGGAACAAAGCTCGGGATTTTTGAGTTCCATCATTACTCTGCTATGTAGCAAATACCATGCCAGCCATTAGCAAAGAGCGTGCTTCATTCCCATCCTGGAGGCTGGTTCACAGAGAGGACAAAAGCTTGCTACTGCTAACCAGACATTCCTTAACTCAAGTGCTGCTGGTCTGCGCTGCAACTCCAAAGCCTGTCAACGCCAACACTACCAGCGACCCACAAAAGGATAAATACCATTGCGCATGAGGGCATTTGTTTATTAAAAAAAAACAATTAAAAACAATCTATGAACAAATAAACAAATGAGGAGATTAAAAAAAATACAGACGTTGCTAGGATTTCGTTCAGAGGGTAGGAAATGCCAGTGTGCAACCGTCTTGGCAAACTTTATTCAGTATCACTGAGCATACGCTGTTAATAGTCTTTAATCATGGGATCTCCCTTGACCCTAACACACACAATTTTAGTTCTGATACACCGTAGCTTTTGCATCCTTGCGATTTTACTGAACTTTAAAAAAAAAAAAAATTAAAAAAAACTTTCAAAAAAGGAATAATCAGCAAGTCAACACCTAGACAAGTCCTACCCTTCTACCTGCAGCTGAAGGGGCTCCTCTGACACAGGAGATGATGTGCACAGATGTGGAATGCATGAAGAAACGTAGTCAGTATGAAGCATACAGTCCCTGAATGTATTTCACATGACTTCATATATTCACTCTCAAGTTTGACAATGTATTTCAGTTGAGAAACACTGGGATGGCTCATGCCACCATCCCTTCCCAAAAATGCAGGAAATGACAGAAATAGTTGTAGGACCAAGGCACACCATAATTTAAAGTTGTCTTCTCCAAATCAAAACACATCATTCTGCAGTAGACATAAATGCAAAAAAATATTTGTACGTTATAATTTGATTTTGGTTTAGACCAAAGTCTAGGTCATGCTTTCTGATTAATACCAGGAGATTTTACACTGAACCCAAGAAAGGAAAGTCCACACAAGCTCAGTGTTACGCACAGCGTAGATATGCTGACTTTCTGGCAAAGCCATGTTCATTTTTCCTCTTCCTTCTGTCTCTCAGCTTTATTTTAAGAATTCTCTGCCGCCAAAAGGTAAATAAAACTAATTAAAGAATACTCTACCAGTTCTGTATTATAGTTATTGCTTGGGTGCAAACATGAGAGCACAGACTCAGAATAAACTTCAAACCTACCAGTCACACCAAACTTTGCAGAAGTACGAGAAAGTTCACAGATTTTAGGGCACCAAGTCTAAGCAGACCTTCTGCACAGAAAAGAGCTTCCAAACGCAAACACAGCACCACTAGCACAGTTGGGGTTTTTAAATACATATATATACACAAACCAAAAGAGACTGCACAACTACTCTCACATCGGTTCGATTTTACCCACTTTTGCAACAGTGCCACATACATATATTGGGTCTAGTCAACGCTCCAGTCAAGTTTGTCAACATAGCTCCACGCCTAGCTATAAACTAAAACAACCATTTTGACACTGAATCCTCAAATATAACTCTTGTTGCTCTTTTTTTTCTTTGCATTTGGTACCGACTTCAAAAAAAAAAAAAATCATTCAGTTGAAGCAAGAAGACTGTTTAAAGTTCAGTTGTTGAACACAGGGTAAGGTTACACGGAGCTTTTTCCACTGAAGAACGATGTTGAAAGTGTCCTTAGTACTACAGTGCAAAAGCATTTATCTTTTCTGGCGTAAGCATGCATTTAATTTAAAAAAATTAATTTCTTTTTCACTGCATAGGTAGCGTAGTCATTTCATGCTTTCACATTTGCACTTCCAAGACTCAAAATTTGTCTTACAGATACAGCACAGCACACCTTGCACAAAAGGAAAGGAAAAGCCACAACCTGACTGCTCAGTACTTTTCTTTACATCTCACTTTGAAACAGCATGCTCATTATATGTTTTCCTCTTGGCTGGGGAAAGTGAGCATGCTTGTGTTTGCAGCTCCTCCTCTTTCAGAGACGCACAGCTGCAGCTGTAGTAAACAACCACTAGTCAGGAGCTGAGAAGGTCAAAGTCTTGGTGCTGCATCCATTTCAGCTTTTCTAAAAATGAAATTTCCATTTCAAGAAATTAATTTTTCGTTTCATTTTGTAGTTATGTCAAGGAAAGGCAAACCGCAATCACCCCCCAACAAAATACATCAAGACATAATACTTCAAAAGCCACAAGCAAAACACGTCAGTAAAAATAAGTATTTCCCCAGCTTTATTGATATACAAACACCTCATTTACAGCCTCATATTTTACTTGATTCGAACAACTTGGTCAAAACCAACCTTGTATTCACGAGACCTGTTACACAATGCAAATGACACTTACTGAAGGAACGAGCAGGGAGGTTGGCCATCCTGAGGAGCGGCGCCACTGGCCCTGCAAGGCTCACAGAGGCGATCCAGCAGCCTGAAGCACGAAGGCTACAGCACTACGACTTCGGGAAGGCTAGCCTAAGCGGGCATCATCCACCCAGTGATGAGAAAAGGCACACACCTTCCCTTTATTTTATAAGCTACCCAAAATCTAAGCAACTGGACGCCCTTCTAGCACTGAAACCTGCACCGAATTACACAGACCTTCCGCAACTCCACAGTGTGGCAGAGAGCTCCCCAAGCACCCACCCATTTTCCTCAAAAACGTGGTCTGTATTTCTATTTAATTATGGTGGGTACCATCACGCACCACCTCGGTCTGGGTGAAGACGACGACGGTTGCTACCATGGGGCTTTGCAGCCCAAGCCCTTCGCTGACCCCACTCTACCACCTCCTGGGGGAAGACGAGCTGGTTCAGCCCCGCCGCACGTTCAGGTCTGGCTCATCCCGACAGAAACAGCTGGCAGAGGACTCCGCGATTAGCCTGTCCTGGAATCTTAAAGTTTATTTTTAAAAGTTGCTACACACAGTCTTCTTGGGCTCTCGGGGGCCTTTCCAGCAAAGGTTTTTCTACAAGAGAGCGCAGGAAGGCCTGGAAATATTACCACTAAGTATTGCTGGGGGAAACAGGTCTGATAAACCCTGCCTATCAGAAGCAGAAACCAAACAGTATCTCCCACATCCTAAACTCCTTCCCACCCATTTCTCAAAAACGTGGTCTGTATTTCTATTTAATTATGGTGGGGGCCATCACGTACCACCTCGGCACACGTGCAATCACTCATCAAATGCCCCACGGTGTATCTCCTCCTCAGAAAGCCTCTTTTTTCCCCCCACAGCTGGGGGATAGAAGAGAAAATTCTATTTTTTGCAGCCCCCTTTAAATGCTATTGACTACTCCATGAACTGGGGGGGAGT